AACCCCCTCCCTATCGCTGTATCCTCCTCCAGCCCCTAAACCCCCTCATCTCTGTATCCTCCACGTGCCCCTAAACACCCTCCCTATTGCTGTATCCTCCTCCAGCCCCTGCACCCCTCCCTATCTCTGTATCCTCCTCCAGCTCCTACACCCCTCCCTATTGCTGTATCCTCCACGTGCCCCTAAAACCCCTCCCTATCTCTGTATCCTCCTCCAGCCCCTACACCCCCTCCCTATCTCTTATTCCTCCTCCAGCCCCTACACCCCTCCCTATCTCTATATCCTCCACGTGCCCCTTCACCCCCTCCCTATCTCTGTATCCTCCTCCAGCCCCTACACCCCCTTCCTATCTCTGTACCCTCCACCAGCCCCTACACTCCTCCCTATTGCTGTATCCTCCACGTGCCCCTACACCCCTCCCTATCTCTGTATCCTCCTCCAGCCCATACACCCCTCCCTATCTCTGTATCCTCCTCCAGCACCTACACCCCTCCCTATCTCTGTATCCTCCTCCAGCCCCTGCACCCTCTCCCTATTGCTCTATAGTCCATGTGCCCCTTCACCCCTCTCTATTGCTGTATCCTCCTGTAGCCCCTACACCCCTCCCTATCGCTATATCCTTCTCCACCCCTACACCCCTCTCTATTGCTGTATCCTCCTCCAGCCCATACACCCCTCCCTATCGCTGTATCCTCCACGTGCCTCTACACTCCTACCTATCTCTGTCACCTCCTCCACCCCTACCTATCGCTGTATCCTCCTCAAGCCTCTACATCCCTCCCTATCTCTGTCACCTCCTCCAGGCCCTACAACCCTCCCTATCCCTGTCACCTCCTCCAGCCCCTAATCCCCCTCCCTATCTCTGTCACCTGCTCCAGCCCCCTACACCCCCTCCCTATCTCTGTCACTCCCTACACCCCCTCCCTATCTCTGTCACCTGCTCCAGCCCCTACACCCCTCCCTATCTCTGTCACCTCCTCCAGCCCCTACACCCCTCCCTATCTCTGTGCTCCTTCATTCTTCACTCCATCATTGGCAGGTATGCCTGTGTTTACCAAGGGGTTTAACGTCTGGAATACGCCCCCACATTCTCCCACCAACCCACACAGCGCTCTATTTCCTTCTGAGTTCATTTAAGATCCTCCTTAAAATCTAAACCTTTCTCCAACCTTTCGTAATTTCTTGTCATATCAAATTTTGATGGATAATCTCTCCCTTGAGATGTTTTTCTACATTAAAGGCACTATAAAAGGAAAGTTGTTGCTGTTCTAAGATGTTGCCAATGGCCATTGCAGGTTCTATTGCCATGTTGTCAGGTGTACGTTTAGGCCTGGTCGGTTGTAAAATTCTGTTCAATGAAACAATTTAAAAATCAGTTATACAACAACAGGCAACTTGTCTAGTTATTCTTCTTAGCCACCTACAGTTCCCAGGATTTATTGAACAGTTTCACAATTTGCCGGGATGGCATTTAAACTCATGTCTTCTGGGTCACTAGGCCAAGACCAGAACCATGACATGGAATTGGATAGAGTGGGGTCATGGGGCTAACTGGACTGCTGGCTTGGGTTCAGTGGGCCGAATGTCCTTTTCTCTTGTATTATAATGACATTACTGTGCTACCACAATGCATCTTTTGTCAGGTGTGGCACAGTTGGTAGCCCTCTTGCCTTTGACTCAGAAGATATGACTTCAAGTCCCACTCCAAAGTCTTGAGGACAAATTCTAGACTGACCATCCGGTGCAGTACGAGGGAGTGCTGTACCGAAAGCATTGCTGCCGTTTGTATAAACATAGAGATCAGGAGTAGGCCATTCGGTCCTTCAAACCTGCTGTAACATTCAATATGATCACGGCTGATCATCCAACTCGGTCCCCCGTTCCTGCTTTCTCCCCAAAATCCTTTGGTCCCTTTTGCCCTAAGAACTATATCAAACTCCTTTAAAAACATTCAATGTTTTGGCCTCAGCTGCCTTCTGTGACAGAGAATTGCACAGGCTCCCCACGCTCTGCGTGATAAAATTTCTCCTCATCTCAGTCCTGCCCCATATCCTTAAACTGTAACCCCCTGGTTACGGACTCCCTGGGAATATCCTTCCTGCATTTAGCCTGTCTGCAGGACATTAAAGCACCTACCCTTTCATCTGGAATTAGAAGATAACATGATATAATTTTAGGAAAGAATTGGTGAGATCTCGCTGTGTCCTAATCAATGTTTATCCCTCAACCAAAAAATAATCATCCCAGTCATTATTGCAGTGTTGCTTATGGGAGCTTGCTGTGTAGCAGATGGCTGTCATTGTTTCCAACATGTACAAACCTCACCTATCTCCGGATATCTGAAAGGTGCTTTGTAAATGCACTGAAGTCTGTTTTCTTTTAACTTTGACAGCTACAGCATCCAGGCTGAATGGGAAACCGTTCCAGTGGCAGATTCAAGATGGGAGCCAGTGGTTAGATGTGGCCCACGATGACATTATAGAAGCACAATATACATTGCCGACTGTGGAAGGGATCTATCTGCACACTGCTGGATATAGGTAAACACTGCACAGGAGCAGTTCAGAAAGCCTAATCTTTTACAGAAATCTGTTTGTGGGATAGAGTGTGATTGGAAAGACCAGCGTTTTCTGACTTGCCTTACGGTGTTCAAAACAATAAGGTGTTTGGGTAAAATAGATTCGGAAAAGCTGTTTTCTCTGATAGCAAGCAGAAAACACAGGATATTGCAATAAGTCCAGATCAGGAGGAGACAGGAAAAAGTCTCCTGACTCAGTGAGGGGTTGTGATTTGGAACACGTTGCCTGAAAGGGTGATGGAAGCAGGAACCTTCAATAGAAACCTGGATAAATAAAGGGGAACATTTTTGCAAGGCTGTAGGGAAACAAGGAACTGTTAGATCATCTCACAGGCTTTTCAGAAGCAGTGGGAGAGGTAGGGAGAGAGGCAGAGAGGTTTAGGGAGGGAATTCCAGAGCATGGGCTCCAAGCAGCTGGAGACACAACTCCCAGTGATGGAGCGATGGAAATCTGGGTGGTGCTCTCGTGGCTGGAAGTGGAGGAGTGCAGAGATCTTGGACGGCTGTAGGGCTGGAAGAATTCTTTCTTCTTCACTTGTGGGCTGTGAGTGTCTCACTGACTGGGCCAGCATTCGTTGCCTGTCCCTAATTGCCCTGGAGGAGGTGCTGCCTCCTGGAAACACTGCAATTCACAATGCGTTTGGATACCCACAATGCAGTTAGGGAGGGATTTCCAGGATTTGCAGCCAGCAACTATGCTTCCAGCTGCCCAGAACACCAATCTCTGGAATTCCCACCCTAAAACTCTCAGCCCCTCTGCCTCTCTCTCCTCCTGCTCCTTAAAAGACTATGAGGTGATCTAATCTTTCCTTGTTTCCCCACAGCCTTGCAAAAGTGAAGGAATGGCAATATTTTACCATGTTGGAGGGGAACTTGCAGAAGGTGGATGTTTCCACGTCCCTGTTCCACTTGTCCTTCTGGATGGTAGGGAATTTAGGGAATAGTGAAGCTGTGGAGGAATTTGTAAACAAGGATGAGAATGTTAAAATGAGGGTGTTGCTAAACCAGGGGACAGTGTATGTCAGTGATTCCAATGGTGTGGGATCAGTTAGAGAGTCATACAGCATGGAAACAGACCCTTCGGTCCAACTCATCCATGCTGACCAAATTTCCCAAACTAAACTAGTCCCACTTGCCTGTGTTTGGCCCGTATCCCTCTAAACCTTTACTATTCATGTACATGTCCAAATGTCTTTTAAATGTTATAACTGTACCTGCACAAGAATGAGCAGGAGCTTGAATGCAGCATTAACACTGGCAGAGAGCAACTGGGTCAAAAGCCTCTGCCTGTGTTTTAAGATTTGATATCTTGAAGCTTTAGCTGACAATTTGTTTTTCTCCTGATGAGTGAATTTCGGTTTCTCTCTGCTGGCAAATTGAAGTGATGGAAACCTGTTCTCACTGAGCTGTTCCCAGGAACTGTTATAGTGCGATTTCATGATGAAAACTAAAACTGGGGAAGATTACAACAGATGCCAAATAGTGTGAATTATCAAACATCCTGAGCAGGTCGTGCAGCATGGGGAACCTCTCAAATCAGTGTCCCTTCCTCAAAACGGTGAGTGTGAAAAATTAGGATTCTTCATCTTGAAGCAAAGATGGTTAAGAGGTGATTTAGTGGAGGTTTTCAAGATGTTTGAGAAGCTTGATAAACAAGTAAGGTGTTCCCTCTGATGAATGGGGTCTGTAAACAGAGGCCATGGATTTAAATTCCTTGATCTAGAGGGACGACGTTGAGAAATTGCTCAAGTCCGAGAGATACCAGGATCTGGAACATTCTGACTGAAAAGGTCCAAAGCTGATTCTAGAAAGAATTTGGAAAAGGAGATGGTTGGATACTTTGAGATGAGGAGCTGACAGACGGGTGAGGGGTAATGTGGAATAAGCATGACTGCTCTTGCACTGAGCTGACACATGGCTAATGGGTTGAATGGGCTTGTTCTGAACTGTAAGTATTTGGTGTGAGCACTGATTGTTCTAACTTAGGTGTTTGTCATAGAATCATGTGGCATGGAAACACTCTCTTTGATTCAATTCGTCTGCACCAACCAGAAATCCCAATCTGACCGAGTCCCATTTGCCAGCATTTGGCCCATATCCCTCTTAAACCCTTCCTATTGATATACCCATCCAGATGCCATTTAAGTGTTGTAATTGTACCAGCCTCCACCACTTCCTCTGACAGCTCTTCCATACACGCACCACCCTCTGTGTGAAAAAGTTACCCCCTCAGGTCCTTTCTAAATCTTTCTCCTCCCAACTTAAACCTTTGCCCCTCTAGCTTTGGACACCCTGGAGAAAAGACCTTGGCTGTTCACCCTATCCATGCTCCTCATGATTTTATAAACCTCTATAAGGTCAACCTCCAGGAAGAATAGCCCCACCCTGTTCAGCCTCTCCCCATAGCTCAAACCCTCTAACCGCAGCAACATCCTTGTAAATCTTTTCTGCACCATCTCAAGTTTAACGACATCCTTCCTATAGAAGGGAGACCAGAATTGTATGCAGTGTTCTAAACCCTTGCGTTTGTTTGTAGAACAATCTATCTGGACTTTGACAAGATGGAAACCATTGGCAGCAATTTCAAGCTACAAAGGCTGACCTTTCCACAATCTCAGCGGATTGATGAATACAGCTGGTATTTTCTGGATGATCATTTCTGGAGGGAATATGGAGTTCAGGTAGCATTCTAGGCAATTGCAATAAATATAACATTGTACATACTCGCTCAGTGAATACAACATCTGTATCTAGTTTGGTTAGGCCACAGCTGGGGTACTGGTCAGCACACTATAGGAAGGATGTGATTGCAGGAGAGAGGGTGCAGAGGAGATTCACCAGGATGTTTGAAACAAAAACAGAAAGGGCTGGAGAAACTCAGTAAGTCTGGCAGCGTCTGTGGAGAGAGAAAAACAGAGTTAAAGTTTTGGATCCAGTGACCCTTCGTCAGACAGTATCTCTGCTTTCTCTCCATAGATGCTGCCAGACCTGCTGAGTTTCTCCATCAATATCTGTTTTGTTTCGAATTTCCGGCATCCGTAGTTCTATGTTTTATTTCACCAGGATATGCCCGGGATGGAGCAGTTTTGCTACATAAGCTCAAGCTGTTTGCTTTGGTGCAGGGGGAGCTGTTGAAGGTGTATTAGAAAAGAAGGAGCATGGACAGGGTGGATAGAAAGTAGCAGATGCTCTTGGTCGAATGGCCAATATCAACAAGGGATCATTTCAAAGTGAAAGAAGGTTTAGAGGGGATTTGAGGATTTTTTTTCACCCAGAGGATGGTGGAGGTCTGGAAGGCACTGCCTGGGAGGGTAGTTGAGGCGGGAAACCTCACACAACCTTTAAAAAGTACTTAGATGAGCACTTGAAATGTCATAACATTCAAGGCCATGTGCCTCCAGCAGGAGAGTAGGACCAATGTAGGTAGTCATGTCTTTTTTGTCAGTATACTCGACGGGCTGAAGGGCCTCTACTGTACTGTATGTTTCTATAATGTTGCCTTTATACAGAATATTGTCATGTATCTAATCCTTTTGCCCTTATGGGGATAGTATAAGTTTCTTTTTGTATCCTTGTACAATTTTAAGAAGTAGAAAATGTTGAACACTCTGGTTGACACTATTGTGACCAGGAAGGGAGGAGGGAGTTGTTTCTGCCCAGTGCCAGCTCGCTTTTTAATTGTTTTATCCAGTTCCTGAAATGGCCAATCTTACGCTTTCTCTCTATTAGACTCAAAATACAAAGATCCATGTGTCAAGTTTCTTCAATAAACAAAAAGAATTGATTTATTAAAACAAAACTGATTAAAAAATGATGAAAACTGGTTAACACACTTTATAATATAAAAATATAAATGTTTATCTCACCAAATAACACAAAACACACACAAATTGGATAGAATGCAAGGTCTGACTTAGGGCACAAAAACATATTTGGCCAATAAGTCTTAATCCTTAAAGGGATAAAAGGATACAATATGGAATGTTTATTTTAAATCTTTCCCCTCTCACCTTGAACCTATGCCCTCTAGTTTGGGACTCACCCACTTTAAGGAAAAGACCTTTGCTATTGACCCTATCCATGCCCCTCATGATTTTATAGACCTCTATAAGGTCACCCCTCAGCCTCTGACGCTCCAGCTTTTCTCAGACCCCCCAACCCATCAGATGCTCTTCAGTGGGTTGGTGCAGACTCGAGGAGTTGAATAGCCTTTTTCTGCTGTGTAGGAATTTTAAGACTTTAATTATGGGGAAGATTCACTAGAATGGTTCCTGGGAGAAGAGGCTTGTGCTCATTGAAACATAACATTCTAAAGGCGACTGACAAACTGGATGCTGAGAGTTAGTTTCCCCGGCGGAAGAGTCTGGGACACAGGAACAAAGTATCAGGAGAAGGGGCTGATCATTTCATGCTGAGATGAGGAGAACTTTCTTCACCCAAAGGGTATGGAATCTTGGGAATAATTGCAGTCCGCTAAAATATCTGCTTATATTGTCCAGGGCACCGGCCTCAAAACTACATTAATCACAAGTTCTGATATTGAATACGAGTTCCAGACGGCTCCTCAGAATGTCTTCAATTTTAGAATTGGAAATTTTAATTACACCATTAATTTTCAAGGTATGTGTTTGTGTGTGTGTACGCACATATAGGTGTATGTTTGTATGTGCATACATGTCTGTGCACATATGTGTCTGCACAGGTCTGCCTGTATATATGTGTGTGTGCATGCGCGTGTGTTTGTGTGTGTGTGTGTATGCGCACGCACGTGTCCCTGTGTCTCTGAGTGTGTCCTGTGTATGTGTGTGTGTGCCTGTGTCTGTGTGTAGTCATTTGCTTGTGTGTGCAGCCTGGAGTGTTCTGCTGGGTAAGTGTGACACATTTCTCTGCTTTAACCTTTCAGCAATGATCCAGACGAATGTTCAAACAGGTATGAGGAGAAAGGTCAGGAGGAGGCCCCGGTTTACCTCCATGAATCAGAATCCAAACAGGTTAGTGCAATGACAAGAATTAACTGCGTTTATCTTAAACAATGATGGAATGTTGAAGTGATTTATTCTTAAACAACAACTTGCATTTATATAGAATTGCTGGAAATAATTGCTGGAAAAGCTCAGCAGGTATGGCAGCACCTGTGAAGAGAAATCAGAGTTAACGTTTCTTTTCCGGTGACCCTTCCACTAAACTGATTTCATTGTTGGTGTGGCCAAACATCCCCTTAGTGTTGAAGGTCTGTCTGCCCTTGTGGGTGGGTTTAAAAGACCCCACAGCCTCTCATCATAAATAAGCTGTCTGAGTCAATATTTATCCCTCAACCAAAACCTGAATAAAACATATTGTTGGTTCTCGAAATGTCAGCTTTCCTGCTCCTCTGATGCTGCTTGGCCTGCTGTGTTCATCCAGCTCTACACCTTGTTATCTCAGATTCTCCAGCATCGGCAGTTCCTACTATCTCGATATTGTCGGGTCGTTACTGTTTGTGGGAGCCTGCTGTGCACAATTGGATTGAACGTTTACTTCATTACAAAAGTATTTCAGTGTGTGTGGAGTGGTTTGGGACATCCTCGGGATATGAAAGGTGCTGTATAAATGCAAGGAGAAGGAGAGGGGTGACAGATTTTGTTAAAAATGAGAAATGAATAAATTCAGTAACAGTTGATTCTGAAATCTACAGCATTTCAGGAGCAATGGGTAACCCAGCTCTGTCAAACACCCTCCCCTCATGCACTTGGCAGTTCAAAGGTGACCATGGCCGTTGGCTGGACTACAGGAGATTGGTAGGTGCTAAAACATATTTTCCATCATGTTCCTCCTCGTCACCTGCCCAAACCTGTAGATTTAGGTCCAACACTAAAATTCAGTATCCTGAAATCCCCACCATGTCCCTGAGAGAAACCTGGAAACTAGAAAAGTAGTTCTGCCAGGAATCTGTCCCATTAAAACAAGGCCAGAGAAATTCCAGAGGGGATCTGGTGGATGAGTAAATCCTACAATTGTCAACCCTATAAAGCCACCAACCCCGCCCCGTCACTCCACCCCCCCACCACTCACCATTACTTACCACTACTCCCTGTCACCCCCCATCACTCCCCATGACCCCACATTACCGCCTGTTACTCCCAACCACTCCCTGTCACTCCCCACCACTCCCAACTACCATTACTTGATGGAGTTTAAAGGATGGTGACTGATTGAAACTTACAGAATACTGTGAGGCCTGGATAGAGCAGATGTGGAGATGTTTCTACTAATAGGAGAAACTGGAACCCAAGGACACAGCCTCAGAGTGAAGGGAAGACTCTTTTAGAACTGAGATGAGAAGGAATTTCTTCCGCTGGAGGGCAGTTAATCTGTAGAACTCATTGCCACAGACAGCTGTGGGAGGTCAAGTCATTGAGTGTCTTTAAGACAGAGATAAGTAGGTTCTTGATTAGTAAGGGGATCAACAGTTATGGGGAGAAGGCAGGGGAATGGGGTTGAGAAACCAATCAGCCATGATTGATTGGTGGAGCAGACTCTATTGGCTGAATGGACCTAATTCTGCTCCTATATCTTATGGTCTTACATCACTCCCCACTACTCCCTTCACTCTCCATCATTCCCCTGACAACATAAAGAGTATTTTCCCGTTACATTGTAATGCGAGGTTTTTGCTGGGCACAACTTGCATTTAAATATCACCTCTAATTTACCAGAACATTTCAAGTCATTTCATAGGAATATCAAATATCCAATGTTAGCCATGAACTATATAAGGAGATATTAGGACAGGTCAAAGAAGCACATTTGAAGGAAAGAGAGGATATGTGAGGGAAATCCAGGGCTTACAGTGCAGGCCAGTGAAGGCACACAATTTTTACACAGTACGATCCCACATTGAATCAGTGAATGTAGTGAAGAATTTGGCAGGAGGACAAGAAGGACTCCTTCCCTTCTTTAAATACAGCTGTGGGAATGTCTCCTCCATTTGAACAGGACTAGGATCTCATCTGAAAGGCAACTCCTGTGTCAATATATCACCCCTTCGGCACCATGATAACTCATCAACTTATATTCATTTCAAGTGCAGAGCAGGTTTTGTGTGGGCAATGATATAGATCAGCATGACTGTATTACAGTGCCGAGCTGACACTCTGAGTCAGAGCTGCTGCCACCAAATCTGTTGGATATTTCCATTTTGTTTCTTCCTTCCACAAGATCAAAATATCTTTTCTGAAGAAACATCCACGAACCCATTGGGTGTCCATTACACAGCACTCCTGTGAGAATATTTCCAACCAATCTGTTCTGAGATGTTATTACACACTTCTGGAGCAGGTGGAACATCCTGGCTCAGAGGAAGGGACACTACCACTGTACCATAAGCGCTCTCTAACTCACACCTTTCTTCGCTGACCTCCATCGGTACCACTCCAGCAACAATTCCACCAGAACACCCTCATCCCTATTTCTGAATCGATCCATGGCTTTGCCCCATTCCAGGTCTTGCATGAGGTACATTCCCAATTCTCTTTGCCCCACCTTTGGTGGATGAGCCTTCAACTGCTGCCTGAGCTTGAAGCACTGGAGTTCCCTCACTTTGGCTTCCTGTCAGCATCTGTTTAATAACTAGCCCCAGTGAAAACGCTCTACAATGTTAAAGGTGCTTCTGAACTGCAAGTTGTGGGGCAATTCCCTGCTCTTTATAATAGCTTTGGGTTTTAACATGTTTTTCTGAAAGGTGGCCTCACTGGTATGGATCACCCACTCCCTCCATCCCTCCTTCCCACAATATTGTATTTCCTCATGATCAGTACAGTAGAGCTTATGACTGAGGGCTGGAAGTTGTTGGCTGACACCCCAGAACGTCTCTGAGGGGCGTGCAGGCCCATGTGGGTTTGTTCTGGTGGATGTTAAAAATCAATGTCACTTCTTAGAAAGAGATGTTCTGACCAACATCTGTCCTTCAAACATCCTAATCAAAAATCAGAGAATTGTCACAGGCCAGAAGGAGACCATCCCATATCCCTTGCACATTATTTCTCTCCAAATAATCATCTAATGATCCGCTTGAATGCCTCAGTCAAACCTGTCTCCATCATATTTCCAGGCAGTGTATTCAAGACCCTAACTATGCACTAAGTGAAAAAGATTTTCCTCACTTCACCCTTGTCTCTTTTGCACTTCACTCAAATTTGGGAAGCACGGTGGCTCGGTGGTTAGCACTGCTGCCTCTTTTGCACTTGCAACCTGGGTTCGATTCCACCCTCGAGCAATTGTCTGTGTGGAGTTTGCACATTCTCCCTGTGTCTGTGCGTGTTTCCTCCGGGTGCTCCGGTTTCCTCCCACAGTCCAAAGATGTGCAGGCTCGGTGGATTAGCCATGCTAAATTGCCCATAGTGTACAGGGATGTGTACAGTAGGTGGGTTATAGGGGGCTGGGTCTGGGTGGGATGCTTTGAGGGTCGGTGTGGACTTGTTGGGCCGAACACTGTAGGGATTCTATGATCTAAATTTATGCCCCTTTTGTTGACTTTTTTACAAGTGAAAACAGCTTCTCCCTATCTACTCTGTTCAGCCCTACTCATGATTTTGAAAACCTCTATTGCGTCTCCTCTCGGTGTTCTTCTCTCCAAGGAGAACAGTTCCAACTTCTTCAGTCTCTCCTCATCGCTGAAGTTTCTCACTCCTGGAACCGTTCTTGTAAATCACTTCTGCACTCTCTCCAATGCATTCACAACTTTCCTATAATATGACACACACAACTGGACACAGTGCTCCAGCTGAGGTCTAACATGTGTCTGAAATCCAATGATGTCTGCAAACCAGACATCTTCTAAAACTGCTCTGGGTGAGTTATTATTATTATCAGAGGAGTAGGAGAATTTATCGGCTTGTTGAGCCCAGTGCTGCATTGGCATATGTCATGCCCCGTGCTATATAAGTGCTCCAAGTAACTTGTGACCCAACTGCACCCAAACCTTCTGACCTGAAAACCAGCAAGACCCTAAATCCAGCACAGACTCTATCCTTTGCTTGCCAGTTTTGAGACATGGTCGCTGTAGAATCATTGGCCATTCTGCTGTTAGAAAGTAAGCCTGTAATTTTGCACCATCATTCTGATTTCTTGTTTAAATTCTGCAGGGTGAAGGTGGGATTGCTTGCTCAATCAATAGTCAAGATATTGAACAGAGTTATCAGCAGAATCCCCAAGGATCCCTGCAATTTACTGCTGGCCGCTTCCAGTACAGACTGGATTTGTCAGGTGTAGTCTTTTATCTATCAATCAGGTTTAAAATGCAGTGGTACTGGATGTGTTGTCTGTGCTTCTCCTGTTGAAAGAATTATCCATTTCGTCCAACACTCCTGCTTTTTCCCCACATCCCTGTAGTTTTCTTCCTTTCAAGTGTTTTCCTGATTTCCTTTTGAAAATTACTATGAGTCTGCTTTCACTGACCTTTCAGGCAGATTTCACCTCACTCTCTGAGTTCTTTAGCCAGTTCCCTTCAATCTGTCTCTCTCCTGGACCTGACCCTCCTGCCCTGGAAACAGTTTCTCCTTATTTGCTCCAACAAACCCTCCATAACACCTCAATTCAATCTCTCCATAACCCTCCCTGTTCTAAGGAGAATAAATCCCAGCTTCTCCAGTCTCTCATATGACAGTTCATGTTTAAAGTAACTGAAAGTTGTTACTAATATAACTCAATCATTATCTTACTGAACCAAATCCATATATTATCCTGGTCTTGTCATCATTATGACAGTAAGACTGTGAAACTGACCACAGCTCCAGCTATTCAATGGCACACTGCGAAATGCAAAGGGACACCGCTAAATGCAGACATTCAAAATAACCCTGTTTTATTTTTGCGTCTCCACAGCATGCAGTGTTGAAGATCCAGACCACAAAAAAAAATCATTGAATGAGCTTTGACTTCCTACCCAATTCTGCTTACTTTTAAAATTCTTGAAAAAGTTACGCCTTGTCAAATGAAATGTAACTAGGTTTTAAATAGCACAGTGCTGCTTTCTTTGGAACAACCTCTTTGGCCCTGATTAATAATTAAATTAGTAATCGATTAATAATTAAATAATTAATAAGTATATTAGTGAAACATCAAGTTTTTCCTTGCCATGACACAAATTCTGCCAATTTAAAGTAAAAATGTTTTTAGAATTTTGTCGTCTATTTCAACTTCCGCCTCAATCCCACAGATGTGCACCAATCTTTGTTTTCATTTAAAATGATCAATACCTGTTGTTTCCACTTGGCTGACTGTGGGAATTCTTGAATCTGATTGGCTGCTTAGTCTGCTCAGTGATATCTGCATTGCTGGATGGCGGATTACATTAATTTGGAGAGAGCAGAATTCATGTGCCTTACAAGTGTCTTCACGGTCAGCAACAAGTACTGACCACTGACCACAAAGTTCAGGCCACAGAAATAATTAAAATTTATGTGAGGGAAACTGATACAACCAGTCCATGTTGGTGTTTATTTTCCATTTCCTGCCCTGATCATTGTTTTGAATATTTTGCAGCCATGACACAAACCAACCTTTTAATTGGCACTAGGAGAGCAGTGAGGCGTTTGGAAACACCTAGCCTTGGGGGAGCTAATGCGTAAGTGTGTAATATATTAGTAACACAGACCACAGACACAACAGGAATATTGATATCAACAGAATTCTGCATGAAATATGATTAATCCACATTCATAATTTGCTCCTTTTCTTTAGTACTGATTGACAGTGTAAGGGAAGCAAAGGCGAGTGTTTTTAAGATTTAATCAATTTCCCTAATTGGCGTGTTCAGAGATGTTATCACACACCTCTGGAGCAGGTGGGACTTAAAGCCAGGCCTCCTGGTCCAGGGGTAGCAACACTACCACTGTGCCACTAGAGGGACAGCAGTGGGGAGTGTACACTAATGAACAGAAAAGAGGCAGCCGTTTGAGGTGTTGGTGGCAACTGAGTCCAAATGGGGAGACAATTCACACAAAAGATTGTGATTGAGTCCGGATTATTCTACCGTGAAGTCAGATTCCTAAATGATGCCTGATCCTAAAGCACTTGGATGTGGATCATCACTTGTCGTTCTCACCCGGGATCCAGACTGCAGATTGAGCCCAGGACTAGGCTACATATAACCATGCGTTGTGACCGGTTAAATCCTATCGTTGAATCATGGGGGACAAGCAGCCAGGGAACTTGAGAACACTGAACACTGGCTTTCCATAACTCACCTCCTCACCCACCAAATCCTATCCACCACCTACAAGGCACAAGTCCAGAGTGTGATGGAATACTCCCCACTTGCCTGGATGGGTGCAGCCCCAACAACACTCAAGATGCTTGACACCATCCAGGACAAAGCAGCCGCTTGATTGGCACCACATCCACAAACATCCCACTCCCTCCACCACCGACGCTCAGTAGCAGCAGCGTGTACTATCTACAAGATGCACTGCAGAAATTCACCAAAGATCCTCAGGCAGTACCTTCCAAACCCATGACCACTTCTATTTAGAAGGACAAGGGCAGCAGATACATGGGAACACCACCTCCTGCAAATTCCCCTCCAAGCCATTCACCATCCTGACTTGGAAATATATCGCTGTTCCTTCACTGTCAGGTCAAAATCTTGGAATTCCCTCCCTAATGGCATTGTGGGTCAACCTACAGCAGGAGGACGGCAGCGGTTCAAGAAGGCAGCTCACCCCCACCTTCTCAAGGGCAGCTAGGGACAGGAAATAAATGCTGGCCCAGCCAACGAAGCCCACATCCCACAAATGAATAAATAAAACATACCAGCATCCATCCACAACTCTTTCTCTGATATATCGATAGTATCATTGGGGTGGCCTCCCTATCTCATCCAGAATTGGAAAAGTTCATCGGTTTCACTTCCAGTTTCCACCCTGCCCTCACTTCCACCTGGTCTACCTCTGACTCTTCCCTTCCCTTTCTTGACATTTCTGTTTCCAGTTTTGGGGATAGACTGGCCACTAATATCCATTACAAACCCACTGACTCCCACAGCTACCTGGACCATACATCCTCACACCCCGCTTCCTGTAAAGACTCCATCTCATTCTCTCAGTTCCTCCGTCTCCGTCACGTGTTCCAATGTTGCCAGTTTTGACAAGGGAGCCTCCGAAATGCCCACCTTCTTCCCTAACCAAGGATTTCCCAGCTCCATTGTTGACAGGGCCCTCAGCAGGGTCTGATCCATCTCCCGCACTTCCGCCCTCACTACTTCTCTTCCCTCCCTCAACAGACCCTTGTCCTTACCAACCATCCCACCAGCATCCACATCCAGAAGATCATCAGACGCCATTTCTGCCACCTCCAGCGAGATGTCACCATCAGATACATATTCCCCTCCCCTCCCTTGTCCGCCTTCTTCAGGGACCGTTCCCTCCGGGACACCCTGGTCCACTCTTCCTTCACCCCCAACATCTCCCCAAATCCCTACGGCACCTTCCCCTGTAACCGCTGAAGATATAACACCTGCCCATTTATCTTCTCCCTCTGCAATATCCCCAAGGGTCAAAACATATCGTCCAGGTGAAGCAGCACTTTACCTGCACTCCCCACAACTTGGCCTATTGCATTCACTGCTCTCTTCTACATTGGGGAAATGAAGCTTAGACTGGATGACCACATCACAGGACACTTGCATTCTGTTCACAAAAAAGGCCCTGAACTTTACGTTACCTGCCACTTCAACACACCACCCTGTTCCCTGGCCAACATCTCTGTGTCATGTTTGCTGTAGTGTTCCAGCAAAGCTCAGTGCAAGCTGGAAGAATAGCATCTCTTTTTCCACTTGGGGATCCTGCAGCCTTTAGGACCCAATATAGAGTTCAATAATTTTTAGAATTTGAGCTCTTCTATGTCCTTACCCCAGCACCCCCACACCAGGCCTTGTTATCACAGTCTGCTATTACATAGCACCTATTGTTAGCCATTTATTCACCCTCCCAGCCAGATCATTACCCACACCTTTGTCTGTCCAACTGTTCTTCACTCTCTTTCCATCCCCACCCATTGTTTACTCCCTATATTTAATTCCCCCATCTAAATCATTACCATTTATTGTGAAGAGCTAGGTTCCTGGCACTGATCCCTGCAGGAGCAGGAATGTCTTGCTGCAATTGTACAGGTGCTTGGTGAGACCACTCCTGGAATATTATATACAGTTTTTGTCTCCTTATCTGAGGAAGGACATTCTGGTGATAGAGGGAGTGCAATGAAGGTTTACCAGACTGATTCCTGGGATGTTATAATTGACAAATAGGGAGAGGGAGTAGAGCGGTGGGAAGGGTGTGGAGGGGGAGGACAGTGGTGGGGGAGGTGTATGGGTGTGGATAGGGAGGGTGTGGTGGGGAGGGGAG